ATTTGAATTTCTTGCTCCCCTCTTTTCCCTCCTACCTTTCTTCACCATAGCCTTCGACACTCTTCTATGGACCCCAGCCTTATCGATCATACCCGTTCCTTTTTATTCCTTTTTCTTTTTTTTCTAAAAATCTCCAATAATCTCATAGCTTCATCATCCCCTGCAACAGCACTCTCCTTTTTTACAGACCCCTTTTCGCTCTGATGCTCTCTCTGCTTTCCTTTCAGTAACACCACTTCCTATCCATTTTTCTCTCTTTTCTTTCTTTCGTACTTCCTCTACACTGTCCTGTTTCACACAAGCAGCTGTTTTCCTTTTTCCTCTATCACTCTACCTGGGGATGCTTGGTACATGCATTGCTACTGGTTCGAAAATTGCTCTCTCCAGCCCTTTCACTTAACTTCCTAAACCCCTCCATTCTCTCAGTGATTCCACTCCTTTCTATCTCGCTTTTTCATCCACTCTTTATTTTACTTTCAATGGAATAGAAAAAGAAAAAAGGGTAATGTTGGGGCGCTGTGGCGCAGCGGGGTGGGGCGGCTTCCGCCTGCACCACCAGGATAGTTGGATCTCGCTAAAAACAACTCAGCTTCCTTTCCTGCAAAAGTGATTTAATGCGAACCAGCAGCCCCATTATATGCAATTTCAAGCTATAGCGATACCTAATTGATGGATTGAATTGAATAGAACAAATGATACAAAAGAAAGAAAATGAAAATGAGTAAAAAGAGGAGTCGGATGTAAGTGGAAAGAAAGGAAACGAAAAAGACGTTCGACATTGGCCGATACGAGTCCTTTTATAAACAATAACATTGCTTATACAATGCTAAGACTATTGGAGCGCTACTACGCGGCAGCTTTAACCCTCGTAATCAGCCGCGGCGGCGCCAATTCGCGGCGGCGCTTTTCCTGACGGCGGCGGTTTTTCACTGCTGGCGGCATACTGGAGCACTAGACATTTGCACTCTTATGATGTGCACACGACTAACCTCACGGACCTCGTTTTTTACCCCCGCGAAAATGAAGTGTGAGCGAGAAAATCCCCTGCTGACTAAGCACCCAGTTAAACCATGAAAAAAGTCGAATAGGAAGTTCTTTTTTGTAGAAGAGCTAATGGCACGCGCCAGATTGATGCCTGGTAGGAGGACAAATAATGTAGAATTGAGATTCGAATCGGGAGCGGCTGACGCTTACGGAACTCTGCGGGATGCGCCGTGCATTCAACATCATCGCGGTGTTTGAAAGCACAAGTATACACCTACACTGGTAATGACACTTTGAAGCAACTGCATCTCAACGAGAGTCTGCTCCTTTGAGACACGATTTTCTAGAAGAAATTTGTGCCATTATATTTACTCTAAATGATCTAAGGCTTAGGGAATGTAGGCAAGAACCTAGCATAGAATGGTACTTGTGAAGTTATTTCAAATAAAAGGTTCTCCGGATGAAGTTCATGGAAAGAATCGAAAGATGGACCAAAGCCCATAGTCTGCTAGCAGTATAATTCAGAATAAATGGCGTTTAACGAAATGAAACCTGTGTGGAAAGCGACAATACTGCCGACCATTTCATTTCGCGAAAAAGCTTTATTCGGAAATGATGAGTTCTCTCTATTCATGGGTCGTTGCCATAGGGGCACCACAAGCTTCCAACTACATACAAACAGGCAAGTAGATACATAGAATAATGCTTTACATATTAGCCGACGACATACGACTTAATCCCAAAAAACCTCTATACATTTCCAGAATGATAAAAAAATTGGAAAGGATTAATGTAGGCTTCAACTGCCATGGGTTCCATTTGGGGCAATATGTAGACAAAAGCGGAAGCTCAGTCACTTCCCCCTCCCCTACGGATACTGACGGCAGTCTGTCTCTGAAAATGGCCGGAAATTTTTATTTTGCGTCAAATTACCCAGTTTTCCCATTTCTCCTGTTGGGACGGAGAGATGAAACCTCGTCCAGGGCAAGGACTCAAGAAGCTATTGAGCACTTCTATGGAACCCCTAGCTTGCGTTCTCGGCACCCCTGATTGGTGGGTTGACCCCTCCAGCCACTCACACACCTCTGGAAACGGGCAGTAATCGATTCGCCGCGCGCGGCAGTCGCGGACCCCTCGCCTCATTAGTTCTTTTGCTCCTGTATTTCTTACTTGCTGCTGTATTCTGCCACATTCTTTCGCGCGCAACGTCTCTCTCGCCGCTACGCGACAATTTCGATCCTACTGAACCACACCCATACACCTCTTCTGCACACATCCTCTCCCAAAATCTGCGAGGAAGAAGTTGCAAACCAGCTGAAAGTGAGAGTGTGGCAAGTCACATCCGATCCAGAGAGTAATCACAAGTTCCAACGACACTCAATGAAACTACTGAAAAGTTCGAACACTAGAGCGTCATCAAATAGTAACAGTAAACCAGTAAAATGCATTGAAAATTTTTGTTTGTTTTTCAACGCTATCAAAGAACAAATACCGTACTTGAGTAGCCGATAAAATGAGTGGCAATGCAAATAGCTACTGCTG